GTCATCCAGTGTTTCCTATCTTGATTGTTCCTGGTTCTGAAGTCTTCGACTTGCTTGTGCTGGTGGTGGTTGCACTCTAGCCATCCTTTCTCTGACTTCGTCTCTGCCACCTCTCTTGTGCTGCTCACCTCGTTGCTGGTCTTCCGATGGGCCTCTTCGGTCTCGTGGTAGCCACTCTGTGATCCGTATCGTCCATCTGTCGTCTCGTTCTTCTGGCTACGTGGCCAGCCCATCTGAGTCTTTTTTTCTCAACCAAAAACTTTCTATGAAATAAATAACAAAATCCTTAAAAACGAGTTGACACCAAAAATAATCGTCATTAGTACGGTCGTCGTGAATGTGTTAAAAAAAAATTAAGTCCCTACTCGTATCAAAGAAGTACTTTTTTGTCAAAAGGAGGACCAAGAAAATATTGATTATAACTTAATTTCCTCTTGTGTTAAAAGATAGCACCAAGATTTTCAGGGTGTTTGATAGTTAGATTTCTTAGAGATAGTTAGATTTTCTTTTCGGATGAATAAGTGTTGTATAGGGATGACGTTTGAATAAATAAATTGTACATATATTTGTGTAACTAAAACTATTAATGGCTTAAAGAGCGCCATGAACTTTATCAAAGAAAATTGATGAAACTTTTTAGAAAATTGAGTGTTAAAAGACATGACTGTACATCCGGATGTGGCTTTCGTTAAGTATCAGATAAATGAATCACTTTCTGCATTTTAGCAAAGAGCATTTTCTTTTCTAAAGTACAAAGGAGCATTGCACTTTAGAAAATGGAAAGCTGGTTGCTAAAATGTGGACTAATTGTGAGGCTGTAAGAGATGAAACAATTGTGAGAGCAAAAGTTTCTGAATATAAAACTACCTATATTTCTTAAACTTTCAAAACTAGTTTAATAATAAAATGTATGAAGAGAACAAAGAGAGAAAAAAGCTTCCAAGAAAGATCGTTAAGTGAATAAATTGGAGTGAAATCTTGCCCCAAAATTGGGTTCTTTCCAGGATCTGTTTTCCTTCGAGAATAGTTGATAGGTATCAAGAGACACATGGATATTTTATCCAAAAAGAATAACCGAATATCTTGAAAGTTCTCTGATTTAAAAATAAAGAAAGACATTGTCTTTGGGGAAAGGGGAATTCCCATTCTCCCGGATTCTCTCCTTCATCACATATTCTGCAGACACTTAAAAGAAACGAAAGAAAAAGACAAAAAAAAATAAAAAGGGACGAGTTTTGAGTTCAACTTTGAAAGAAAGTTGAAAGAAAAATTTGCAAAAAATTGCAAAATTTATTTGTTAGTTTGGACATTCGTCCAACGTTCAACGAAATTTTTGTCCTCTAGGCAACTACCGTAACGTTTAAAACACCAATAAGTTTTGAAATATCATGTTTTTACAAAAATAACCCATTCTTTATGGTACTTTAGCATTTTAGCATTAAAAACGGAATTCAATTTTTAAAATAACGGCTATAAGTGACAATGAACATTATCTATTATAGTATTACGATAGATAGATTGGTCTACTGTATTTTTACAACTTTCCCTTCAAGTTTTCGATAATTTTATACATATGATGAAGATAAGCTCTTTTTTGAGATTCATCTTATGAAGTGAGTGTCGTCGAGAGATCATTTCTTGATGAGACACATCGCATGCCTTGTGAACTCCTCTTCACACTCGGCGCCTGCAATTTGGATAGGATTTACGCATCGAGATTCGAATTTGCTAACTATGTAGTAAGGTTGAATTTTCAAAGCTTTTAAATTTGAGCACCAGGCAAATACTTTTCTTATAGTTCAAATACTTTCTTTTCTTAATTCCGAACATTTTGCGTCAAAGATTCAATAAGCTTATGACTACTTATAGAAATCTCTGAACCTCTTGGCTCACTCTTCGAATTGTTGAAACAAGTGATCGCATCTCGGATCAAAAAACCGCATCTATAAATCTATGTATCTAGAGATTTTTCAGGTAAACCTGTGAGCCAAAGCTGATTCGAGACATGGACATTCAGGGTTGATTCGACCATCCGGGAGAACAGAGGCTGAAAATCGATTCTGATACAGTATACCTTCTGTTAAATTGAGAGACTAGGTAGTAAAGACCATAATCTCATAGGCAGAAACTTATAAAAACTTACAAACGGTGTCAATTGGTTCCTTTAGGTGAGTCAAATGAGCGGGTGTTGGCTCTTTTTTCGACGAAATGGGTAGAAAAATTATTTGTGAAGATGAAGACATCGATATCTTTTGTCGCAATCTTTTACGTAACATTGTAAATATGAAATCGTCAAACTTTCAATGTAAATAGAGATCGAAGAGATGAAAAATTTCTCTCAACGCACTAAAAGAAAAGACTATAGCAGATATTTATTCTCCCGAATGCAAATCTATTTGGAAGGTGTTTTTTGTCGATTCTCTTCGAGTAAATTTCTTTTCATCGCTTCTCGTGCCTTTTCTTAAAAACCACCATTTTTACTCATAATGTAAAAAAATTACCATTCAAATTTTGCATACAAGTGGCCCAATCGATGAATTGCTCAGGACATTTCACCATTGCATCGTTTTCATCACTCGCTTTCATGCATTTGTACAGTTTTCTAAAATTTACAAGCTTGATCAAATACTTAAAAATACCTAAAATGATGACCACATCGATGTGCAACAAGCGTTCCTCCGCCCATACAGGGACATTCCCAATTTATCGATCCGTCCGCAAATGCCGGTCCTATTCATTTAATTGTGAGATGCATCAGTAACTTTTATCTGGCACTACGCAAACAAATAAATTTATTACCTTGTGCTTTGTATTTTGAAATGTCTCGGCAAGCTTCCATCCATGAACAAGTTGCTTTTATTGGTTGAGAATGCTCCAAGCGTGTAATAAAATAGAGTTGATCTTTTGACGAATTTCCGTTGTTGTTGCTTTTTGATAAATAAGGCATTTCCTTAATAAGCATCAGACGTGTATAAATTGGAAACTAGATATACCAAAAATTTCTGCCAGAATCAAGCGTACATATCCCAGTGTGCTTTGTAAGTGAAATTGTTTATCAATAAATAGGTAAGAAATGAGATAATGACAAACACGAGATCATAATCAACTTACACAAAATTAAAACATGATACATTATGAAAATCGTATTATTGAGAAATTAAGTACATGTTAAAAAAGGTAAAAAAAATTAAAAATAGTACATGAAAAAATAGTACACAACCATACTTCATGGGCATTTCTTCTCAACAATTCCTCGTCCACCATCCTCGTATTCTGTCTTGCTTATCCACATTTGTTGGAAAGTTCCCTAAAACAAACAAGTAGCCAGCGGTAATTAGAAAATTGAAACTAACCACGCTGGCAAGAATTGATCCTCCGATCCATGGTCCAAAGCGGCGTTCTGCTGGTGGTGGAGCGCTTAAACGCAGTCTCACAGTCTAAAGAAACTTTAGTTAAACATACTCCAAAGAACTACCGGTGGGCATTTGTGTGCCAAATCGTGGTTTAAGCGTTCGGTGAATCCAAGAATAAGTGAATTCCCGCCAGTGACGAGCAGATTGGAATAAAGATTCTAAAACACGTTTGCTTCAAATACTTTTTTTCAGTTACCGGTCTGATGTCAATATCACACATCCCACAGGCCGTCGAAGCAATTTGGCTCACGTTCATCAACGTGGAATTGTCCACATCACGAAGGTATTTCAGATCAAAAAGGCCTTCAGGTACCTTGATGCGTTCGGCCAAAAATTCCTAAAAAAATGGCAATGAAAAAGGTTACTTAGAGCTCAATAACTAAACGAGTTGTTAATGGAATTCTATGTTACGAACTTTGTGGAAGCCATTCGGAAAACCATATGGGGAAGATGGAAGCTTTTCCGCCGATTCAACATCAATAGGTGAATCACAAAGTTGAAGTATCGACTGAGCAAGATCTTCGACAATCTAGTATATGTTCTTGACATTTTATAATGGAAATATTTTACCTGTTTTCGCATGTATTTATCGTAACTCTCCGTGACTTCGGGAAGACCATTCTTTTCTGTCCAGCGTGGTGGTTCATTTTCATTAACCTCCTCCTAAATTGAAAGTTGTAAGCCTTTTGGAAAAGACGAACCTTCGACTTTATCTTGTATGTTGGCACAAGATCAATTTTTTGTTCAGCCAGCATTTTCTCGATCTGCTCACAAATGAGATCCCCACCAATCGGACTACGAACAACGGCTAAAAGATTTTATAGAAATTTAAATTAAAGTATGTCTCACCATGAGTTACACAATATCCATCAAAGACTGGTACAGCTGATGTTTGAGTTGCTCCACTATCCACGACCAATCCTGCAGTACGCCCATTTGAAAATCTTAAAATATCACAGTTAAAAATTCAAAAGAGTAACACTTACGCTGTCAAAACTGCATTTTTCACGACAAAGAATGCGGGAACATTGTACTTTTCAAACATCAACTCGGTAAGTTTTTCCCGCTTTGCTTTCTCGTTCCACTAAAAAGGCAATAGAATTCGAAATAAATAGGCAAAAACGTACGGCGCTTTCTGAGAATAGTACAGGATGATATTGGCTTTCAGTTCGAAGACAATCTTTGTAGGCAAAGTCGAGCATTTGTTCAAAAAGATCCCAATCGTCGACTAAATTTCTCCTTTTAATAAGTCTCCATAGGTATCTTACTCATTCCATCGTGCATAAAATTCTTCATTTCACAATTCGATCGAGGGACAGTCATCTTAAAAATTTGACTAAAAGTTGATGTTAACCTAAGACAACTTACTTTCGTAGTTCCTATGTGAACCTTTTTCTCTCTTCGCATGATCGAATTCTCGTCGTTAGTTTCGTATTCATGGATTCCAGCCACCGATGGTATATCGAACTAAAAAAATATGGTAAATTTGCTGTTAACAAAATGTAGTTGCATCTGACCATTCTTTGTTTTGAGAGCAGATGTGTTAGCTAGTAGGTGTTTTACGGGCCAAATAAGGTTAAACTCACGTTTGGCAATTCTTCTCCAGCAAAGCCAATACGAAATGAATGAGAGCCAGCATCAAAAACGATTCCACTGACCTCATCTCCGCCATAAACTCCACCACTCATTGCTCGCCGGTCGCGCAAGCGTAAACCTAAAGCAACAAAACATCAACAAATGTTGGTATTTCGTCTCCTCCCGAGAAAATTTGTAACAGATTAAGTAAAATCCTGATGGATAACAGGTAAAAAAATTTGAGATTTTGCGTATAAATTTATTAAAACCTAATCAAATAACAATCAACAATAACAAAAAATCAAAAAATGCTAAATCAAGCTAGCCAAGCCCTAATAACAAAAACTAAACTAATATCACGTGAGATCATTATTAACACAAAGCTTTAGCGCTTTTTCTTTTTCGCCTCGACCTTTGGATCTATGAGGCCTTGCTCTACTTTCCACTGCCGAATTATACTTTCTTGTGTCGTTGCTGATGTCGGAGTATAGCTGAATGAACATGATACAAAAAATAAACGCTTCTTATTTACTCAAGTTAATTTTCAAAAATGAACTACTTGAAACGAACCGGCAATACTCCATACTAAATTCGCCTTTTCCCTCGGTTACTGAACGTAGCAAAGACGTGTAGCCAAACATATCAGAAAGCGGCGTTTCACAAACGATCTAAAGTATTGCAATGTTCCCAAAGCTCGTTAAAGTCTATAAATACCGTAGTGTATCCTTCATGCGAGTCCGTTGAAACAATTAAAGCGTTTCGTTGGGTGAGAGATGCAACAACACTACCCTAAAATAAAAAATAGAAGAATGCAAGTAAAAATGCCCGTACCTGAAAATCACTGGGCGTCGTAACCTCGACTTTCATAATTGGTTCCAGCAAAATCCAGTTAGCTCTTTCGTAAGCCTAAATAAAATAAGAATTTTGGAAACAAGTCAACTTTCAAACTTCACGCATCATATTTGCCATAGTATTAATCATCGCGATTTCCGTAGAATCGACCGCATGTGTCTCTCCATCTTGTATCCGCACATTTATACCAGCAATCCTAAAACATTTGCCTAAAACGTAAACAATTCGAATAGCTTACTTTTGCTTGATTAACGGGCCTTCCTGTGTAATCATATCAAGACCTTTCTTCAAAGCTGGGAACAAATTTTTTGGGATGCTGTTTCCAAAACACTCGTCGGTAAATTTAACGATGGTATTCCTAAATTTCAAGTAGATACAATTAGGTAAGTAAAAGATGCTTACTGATCTGGGGGTAATGGATCGAGAACTCCTTCGATTTGTCCAAATTGACCCTGTCCTGAAATTTCTTAGTTAGCAAAAGAAAAGTGAACAAAATTTTTGATTTCGAGATACCTTACCTCCAGTTTGCTTTTTGTGCCGATAGTGAAACTTGTATGGATCCGCAATAGATTCTCGATAGGCCACAGTTGGTTTGCCCAATTCAACCGGACAATTGAACTCGCTTTTCATTCGTTGAGCATAAATTTCCAAGTGCAATTCACCCATTCCACTCACAACGGTTTCTTTTGCCTCTGCGTTATATTCCCTAAAGCAAATGAATACTTAGGCATAACTTTTAAAAACCTTTTGAATGTCGGATCCTCCTTGGTGAAACGAGTCAACGCCTTAATAAAATTTTCTCCGTCCTTACGATTCACTGGTTTTATTGACATTGAAATAACTGGCTCCGGAATATGCATAGATTCCTAAAATCAGGAGTTTATTTAAAGATAAAGAGGTTATCACTCACACAATGTGGCGGGTTCTCTGGCATGCTTGTAAACGTTTCTCCGGAATGACAATCTAATCCAAATGTGGCGCAAATGTCTCCGGCATAAGCGGTTTCCACTTCTTCCATATCCGCAGCATGCATCCGAACTAATTTTTGTACGCGAACCTTTAAAAAATAAAAGCATGAAAAAAATACGGCAATAAAACCTTTCTGCCGTCTTTACTCGCGTAAACCGTATCACCACGCGAAAGCTGTCCTTGATATATTCGGAAATATGTTAGTTGGCCATACTTTCCTGCCTAAACAGAATTTTTGTTATTTGAAACAGTTACTAAAACTATTTTACCTCCAATTTAAAAGCAAGCCCGACAAACGGATTTGAATTATTTCGAGCAGGATTCAGTATAATTGACTTCTCCTTATCACCATCTTTGATACTGGCAAGGTTTGTTACTTCGCCTGGATTCGGTAGATAACTAAATGGTCACTGACTTTCCAAAATAAAAAGAATCAACGTACCGCACAACGGAATCAATCATTGTTTGAACGCCCTTATTTTTTAAAGCAGAACCACATAAGACTGGCAAGAAACTACGCTTTACCACAGATCTAAAACAAATGTTGACGTGTAATTTTTAAAAATACTACCGTCGAATAGCTGAGTGAATTTGATCAACATTTGGTTTGACATCATTCAAAAAGAGCTCTCCTAATTCTTCATCGCCGTTTGCAATATGTTCTAAAATAATCATACCAATAATTAAAAATTTTAGCCTCACCAATCATTTCGTCTCGTAGATCTTTTGCTTGCACACGTAGATCTTGAGGGATTTCATCTTTTCGTACTGTTAGTCCACCTTCTCCTTCATAATAAATAGCACACTCGTTTATCAAATCTACGATCCCGCGAAAATCGGAATCCTGAACAATAATTACGTTATTATAATTTTCGAAGAACTTACCTTTCCAATTGGCAAGTGAATTAGCGACGCGTTGTGCCCTAATTTGCCTCGTAGGCCTTCGACGGCACGAAAAGGAGTAGCCCCAGTGCGATCCATTTTATTGACAAAACAAATGAAGGGAACTTTATAGCTAAAAATTAAATTTGCTAAGAAAATTGGCTAAAAATAACCGAGATAATTGACGGTTGACGGTAAAAGTTTGACTTTGCACGCCTCCTACACCACACAACACCAAAACGGCTCCATCAAGCACTCGAAGTGCGCGCTCCACTTCGACCGTAAAGTCAACGTGACCTAAAAGAATAATATTTCGTCATTAATAAGAGAAATAAGCAAAAATTTTAAATGACCAACCTGGCGTATCGATGATATTTATATTTGTTCCATGCCAGTCAATGTATGTGGCGGCTGATTGAATAGTGATGCCTCGTTGTCGCTCCAATTCCATAAAATCCATCGTGGCTCCCACGTCATCTTTCCCTTTTACCTTAAACCATAAAGTTTATTTAATTATTGTAGCTAAATACTCACCTCGTGCATCGAATCAATTTTCCCCGCATAGTATAAAATCCTTTCAGTGACGGTGGTTTTCCCCGAGTCGATATGCGCCGAGATTCCTAAAGAGAATAAATAAAAAAAGTTAGAAATCCCCAACCAATGTTTCGTATTTTCTCGATGGGCTTGTTTGCACTCGTCCCACCGCTGAACCATCTGCTTGCAAGAAGTGATTGCTAAATTTAAGAACGAAATTTAGGATTAGCCAAAAGAAACTCACTTTTAATTTGAAACTCAGCCTTCCAGGGATTATGAGGTGAGAAGAGGCGCTCATCACCCTTTGTTTTTACCCAAGTTGAGCACTAAAAAGTTGAAATGTTAGAATTTGTTAGATTGCAAAGGAAAACAAAATTTAAACCAAAGGAAGGCATAATTTCTAGAGAGAATTTGGTGAACGGGGTCTATAACTTCGTTGTCATTAGCCCTAGTCTGTACTGGCAACGGAGGGACTTTTTGTTGCACCACTTTTCACCATTGCCCTTTCATTATAACAAATGAATTGCTTCAAGTATAAACTAGCAGATTTTTAAATCAATGTCTTAAAAGTCATAATTTCTTTGAACACGGTCTTTACAAGCAAGAATTTCTCACTTATTCCCCGCAATTCCTTTCATTTTCCTTGAATTTTTTTCAATTTTTGACAAACTCTTCAAGTTATTTTTTCAGGAATGCGACTGAAAGCCAGCTACACACTCGCAGACACTCGATGGTTACGAGGGATCGAGCCCTTTCAGACGAGCTCCGTTGAATTGACGTCGCAAGTGGAGGAATTCGACCCATTTCGAAATTTTGGTAAATTTTTTGGGGTCTTGCACCTTTTTGCTGTCTTAAAAACTGGCACATGTTTTTGGTTGGAGTGATATGCTGATTTTTTTAGATGAAACATCTACGTGCACATCATGCCGGATTCCACTTCCCGAGGAGCGACAAGGGATTCTCGATCATTATCGGTAATTTTGATGGGATAGACTTCTAAATTTGGTGTTTAGCAGCGATTGGCATCGTCACAACGCATCTCGGGCGCTACGGGGACAAGAACCTCTAGCTGAAGAATTGTACGAAGAAGAGGTCGAAAAAGGTGGATAGTTTCGTAATTTGTTTTTTAAAAATTGTTTTCAGATGAAGTTTCCTCACTTTCTTCCGATAGCGATGATGATGTATTTTTGGATCGTTTGCTTGGCTCTACTCATGAGTACTTCATTCAAGATGGACAGGTTGCCTCTTGATCTATTCCAATATTTATTTGTGTCTAGGTATTTTCCGTTTACAAATGCATTGTTTCTCCGGAAAGGCCATTGGACTCGAATTTTTTCCGAATGACAACTGACTGCGCCATTTTCATGTTAGCTGGTGGACACTTTGCAGGCGGTATCTTTAAAAGGTTTGTTCAACTTTTGAAGAAGTTGTACTATTCATATGCTAGGGGTGTTTTGACGCTACACAAAACAATACATCGATATACCGTTCGCGCTAAACAAGGTCAGTTTTTTCTGATATTAAAGGCTAAATGAACGATTAAGGCGGAGCACAATCAGCCAATGATTCGAAAAATGGGATGGCTCACTCGGCTGGAGCAGCTTTGAGAAGGTAAACATAAAAATAATATTTTAAAGTTGGCTTGAATTCTTTAGATATAATGAACGTGCTTTACATACGGGGATCGAAGGTCTAATCAAAGAATGGTCAGCACCACTTTCTTCGATTCCGTTAATATTTATTCGTTGTGGCAGCTATCAACGGCAAGCTTTCTTTTCGGAAAGATTGTTTGATAAAAACGATCAACGAATTAGGTTTGTTCTATTTTTAATTTTTTAGAAAACAATAATTTCCAGATCATTTCCCTTTGAAACCAAGCGGCCAAGTATCGATGAGTTGAAACGTGCCTATAACCTGCTTGATTCTGTCTTTGAGCATGGTACATATGAAAAATTTATGGAAGAGGTAAGAATTTTGGTTGTTTTTCAAAAAAAATATGCATTTTAGTTAAAAGCTGCTCAAAATAAAAAGTCGGGCGTTCAACTTACGAAGAAAAAGAAAGACACGAAATTAAACGATATTATTGACAGCGAAGAAGACGAGAAGAACGAGAATGAAGAAAGGCAGCGAAAAACAGAAAGAACAGAGAAAAAGGTCCCATTTAAATGAACTTACTTCAAATTCTTAGTTTTAGAATGCCGATCTCCAATTTGACAAAGAGGAGCGCGAAGTCCTCGATCCATTTTCGGATGTTGGTTCTTCTTTAACTTAATCTGATAATGTTTTTATTAAGATTGACAAACAATGGAAATCGAATGTGTACGCGGTTGTTCGAAATGACGATCCCGAGACTTTACAGGTAATTATTAAGCTTTAAATTATCATAATTACAATCATTTTTCTAGAAACTTCTGGAAACATGCCCGTGCGACCGTGAACGAGCCATCCAATTCATCAACGAGATGGCCTATCCACCGCTTGGGAATACGTTAATGCATATCTCTGCATCAAATGGTTCGCATAAAGCGCTTGAGGTGAAGTCTTACTTTCTTACCTGACTGCCCAGTTCTAAATTTCTAATGTTATTTAGTATCTCCTACGTCTCTGCTCAAATTTATCGATCAGAAATAACAACGGAGATGTTCCTTTTCAGGTTAGATATTTTTACTGTAATTAATAAAAGTTTAAATCTTTTAGATGTCACTTGATAAATCGATTCGCCTTATTTTTATGAATTTTCGCGCTAATTCAAATGAGGACACACGGATTGATTGGCGATCAACGCACATTCCTGTGCCAACACCTAAAGTAGTTGATAATTTTTACTGTATTTTTTTTTCTTTAGGCTGAGAAAAACGAAGAGCAATTGGCACTCGAGCGTGAAAAACGGAAACTAAAAAAGACGAGGCAAAAAGTATCTTAATTTAGTTTGTAGATATCTGTAAATTTTCATTTAGGAAAATCAAAGAACGAAAAAGGCTGAAGAGAAGGCACTTGCAGAGGAAGCGGCAGCAAAAGAAGCGTGGTTGGCCTTGCCGGATCGAGAAAAACGAGCGCGAGCGGCTGAAGCTCGTCTTGCTGTGTTGGAAAACCTTCAACGTGCCCGATGCTATCAGGTATCTGAAATTTTAAGCTTTTATCAAAGTTTTTTGTAGTGTGGCGGCGTTCTACCAAACAAGCCATTCACCTATTCAACGTTTGAATTCTGCGCCCCAACCTGTGTTTCTGCGCATCGAGCAACTCAACCACCCAATAAAAATGTTTAATGTGTCTCAGGTTTAAATTTTTTTAATCTTTATGTTTTGTTTAATTTCTGTGATGCCTTGAAATTTGTGATATTTACTTATATTATTCTTATTGATTGTTAAGAATAATAAATGAGATTTTTATAGTTAGTTATACGGTCAAATCGGCAAAGAGAAATTTGAAAGGCTGACGATTGGGCTTGGACGCTGTTTGATTTGGAAGAAAGAAAAGGAACTTGTCGACGAATTTTTATCAAGTTACCCGCTGACAATTTAGTTCATTATCAGATTCTTTAGTTGTCAGGGAATTTTTGGGTCACCCCTTTTAAAACAAAGAAAATTTGCGGTTGCGTCAGTGGTTGTTCTGTCAATATTTTATGGCGTTTGAAGGCTCATAAATTTACACGGATCGGTAGATATCGGAAGGAGAAGGCAAGAGATTCGACACACCCTCACTCAATGATAAGAACTTTTACAACTTTTGGGGACAAGCCACCCTTCCCCCATTCATCCCACTGTCTTTTATCCATTTCCCCTTCTACAAAATTCCCCAATACAAAAGAGGGCAGCTGTGTAGATTCATTTTTCGCTTAAAATCTATTCAAATGCGATTATTGATCGTTTTGTTGTTGCTTGGGGTAGGGAAAAGTGTTTGGAGGCTAAACTACAGTACTTATCTAGGATGTGCTTGGGGAGTACAGTTTGACAATCTACCTGCGACGCCTCGATGTCGGACAGGGGTATTTGCTAAGTGGAGATCATTGCACGGACACGTGGAATCTCGGAGATCAATGCAATCTACAGTTGAAGGTTGAATGAATAACTGAACTTAAAAAAAACTAAGCGAAAATGTTCCTAATGCGCTTTCTAAAATGTTTTAAATTCTAAAACTACCGTAATCCTGTAGTTTTTATCAAATCTAGTTCAGTATCCTTCGTGAATCTTCATTGCCAAAAGTAGATTGGATTGAACAAAGACTAGAGTCAGTTCTCGAAGTTACAGTAGTTTTCGAAAACGCGTACCTTGAGTGAAACGCGTACCGCGTACCTCAACTCCCATTAGTGATACATTTTCTTGTCACTTTCCAATCCCTACTTCAGTTGGGAGTTTGTTTGGGCGTTCCATTGAATGTGAGCAACCCGTGTCCCAATCCAACGCCGATCGATCTCTCAAATGTGACATCAAATTCGAATGCCGTCGATTTTGCGGTAGTTCCATTTTGACTTATTTCTCTAATTGCTTTAATTTGTTAGGGAGGAGGCACTATCTATGGGGCATGGAAAAACCCGAGTGTTTTCCCAAATAATTCCACTGATGCAATTTATGCGGTGAGTGAGAAAAGCTAACTGGAATTTGTATCCAAGTGGCCCACTATTCAATTTCCATTCACGATTATATGCAAATTTAAATGCATCACTGTTTCAATTTCCATTTAAGGCGTAGAAACGACAGTATGATTGGAACGTTTTCATCTTTCTAGGGTTTCTCGTTGTCTGTCGAGATTCGCGAGGCTCGCGGTGGAGCCATCATTGACAGCTATCAGCAACAATTCGACGATGGGAACACACCAAACAATTTCATGTATTTTTCTCATCCGAGAAATCTCCTTGATCCGACAATGTTCGTGACAAAAATCGAATTTCCAACAAAAAGTTCAGGTTATCGGTGGCATGGAAAGCGACTGGAAATCTGCCAACACCGCCCCCTCCACCGACCACAACCGAAGCCCCTACACCGACCCATACGAGTTCGTGTTTATACAGTTATTTTTTTGATTTCGAGATTTATAAACTGATCGAATAGTAGTTAAAATGCTAGTCTGATCATTACGCTTTGAGCAGATTGATAGAATGCTATCGTAAATCCCACTTTTCAGCTGCCACCGAGCCCTCCACCGAGGAGCCACCATCGACGTCAGGTTGCAGAATCTACACAATTTTTATAACTACTCTTTGCTTTCAGCCCCGATTACCGCAAAAGATTGTGAAGAGATGGAATCAAAAATTGATGGAGTATACCCAATTCTCATCAATGGTCAAATCGTTCAGGTTCAGGAAAAAATAGACAAGATAAACATGATAATGGATCGGATTAGATAGATCCGACCCACAGCCATCTTTACATACAAATCCTTTTAGGTGTATTGCTCATTTGCCTCCAACGTGGCTCTCACTCATATCCAGGGGTTAGTCCCAAAAATCTTTTGCTTACATTTTGTGAATATTTAGACGCGGAGAAAAGGACAGCACAGATTTTGATGTGACTTTTGACAAATACAAGGAGCCTATTGGAGACGCGGACAAGGGGAACAATTTCTGGCTCGGATTAGATAATATAAATCAATTGACAGCAAAGAATGACCAAAGGTTGGAAGAAAAAGATTATTAAAAAGATCTTTGTTTCAGTTACTCGTTGATGATTGAAGTTTGCTGTGGAGACACTTCGATCTCCAAGCAGTACTACACTGAAGTCCAGGTAACAAAAAAATAAGTACAATTTCCTATTCGTTTACATATATTTTCAACTAGCGCTCAACACTGATGCATTTTATAGTTCAATTTTGGTTTAGCTTCTACCTGATTTGATTCAAAACTCATTCCCTAAATAACCGAAAATCGCTGGAAAAATATTCTGATAGAGAAAAATGGGTGTAGCCAAATATTCTGATAGAGATTTATCATTGCTTTTTCCGGTGAGTGACTCGTCCACTGGCTATGTGTTGACTGGAAAAGCCACCCTCGGCATTGGCCTCAATTACGCCGATAACACGGACGGTTATGGCACAGATCTTGGGTATGAGAACAAATTTTGATTGAGTGAAAAAAATTTAGACGAAAATTTGTCACATATGACTCTTGGAAAGATAACGATGATAATGAGTATTGCAAAGTCATCTATGACGGCCCAAAATACACGGAAGGATCAGGGTGGGATTGGTTTTGAATAGAAAGTTTCAAAGGTTCCAAAAATGTTACGCAAGCAATAAGCATTGGCAGATTAAAGCAAAAATTCACTTTTTCAGCGGCTGGTGGTTCGGTAACTGTCGCGAAAACCTCAATGGGCATTATTACGAGGCAGCAGTTGATCTCGATCTCAATTGCAAGATCACCGTGTAAGTAGAAGAGATTTTACTTAAAGAAAAGCTATCTAGACCTTCCCCCTGGAAAAAAGGTTCGGGAATCGAGTTCGTCACACAAAACATTGCGACACCGGTCGTGAATGGAGTGAGCTACACGAGGACACGAATGGCCATCTATCGGGGAACAGCACAACCTACTGGACTTAAGAATTTCTGTGTGAGCTATTTGCGATCACTAAAAGAAATTTCTTTTACTGATACCAAGCCATTGCTAAAGAATTCGACAATAGCAAGTGACAATAGCAACAATACAATGACAATGACAATGACAATCACTCACAGAGCAAGTCTAATTTCAGACCTGAACACCCGGACACCATCATCAAAAATGAAAAGAATTTCTTTTTTTAAATCCCATAATAAATGTGATTCTATTGTCAATATCTTGATATCCTTTGAATATTTCATTCAATATTTCCTCTTTTTCATTATTTTGTTTTTAAATTGTTCATAGGCTTCTTTGAGATCACCAATGAGATGCGATCAACACAAGCGAGTGTCATCGTTTTTCTAGCGGTAAGTCTATTTCAATGAAAGGATCGTTCAACTAATTTTAGCTTATCACATTATTGAATGCCTATCAATTGACTGTTCACCTCAGATCCTTGGATTTAAATGGATTCCTTAACGATGGAAAGACGAAATGCTCGAAATTGTCGGCATTCGGCGTGAAATGCTATCCACTTGTCGCGATTTGTATTGAGCGGATTGCAGAGTGAGTCAAGATCAAGATAAAGCATTCATTTGATTCATTAATTAGATACTTTTACTTTATTTTATATTTACAATTTATATTTATTTAGCTAACTCATAAGTTATTGTTACAATATATTGTTCTGGTTACTTTACTGGTTACTGTTCTGGTTTAAAAAGCTAAACAAATCTTTCCTGTTTGATTCATCATGAAAATAAAGTGCAAAGAAAGAATGCATTTCCATTTTTGAGCCATTTTCTTTGAAGTATACTTTGTGCTTAAAGATTTAAATGCATCTTTCTTGCATCTTAAAGATGTAAATGCACCTTTTCTAATGCACGCAAACGCTTTCGTCTACAAAAACTCGTTACCGTAAGCCAAAGAATGCACTTTGTGCACTTTTGAGCAACATTTATACAACTAACAAGGCAACGATTTTCAGTAAAACAAATAAAGCTGACACTTGCCTCACCGGACCGTGGATTGAGCTGGGTGTTTGGGTTGGATACCGTCACTTGTAAAAAACAAACTAACTTTAGCCAGACAACGAATCGATCGAATTTGGCAAGACGGAGAAACTCCGAGGATGGTACAATCCACAGGATATCGCAATTGATGGAAATTTTGTTGTAAGTCAAAACAAGTATCGGTTCTTCTCGGAAATCCGGCACAGTTAATTTCCCAATTCCCAAGAGAATCGAATTGGCTTTGGGTTTTGCATATGATAGTTTTCCACAATGAAAAGACTCGGATTTCCGAGAAGAATCCAACTATCATAACAAACCGCTTTTAGGGCTTTTACGTGAAACTTCGTGTACAGCACTACTATGGAACAATAGTCAATCTGATCGCTAACCAAAGCTGGGAGATCAAGGAGTTCAATGGAGGAGATGTCGATGAGAGGGATGTAAATGGAACGCAAATCACAAGGTAAACAATTGGATGAGGCTCTACGAAGTACAATAAACCTTTTTGAGTACTGTACTTGGCCTTGCTTGGCGTTTTTTTGCTAAGTTTAAGCGTTGCAACCTTTTTCATTATTTTAGCTTCAAATTCGCTTGGACATGGAGTGGAGCCAGTCATTCGACAGTCAGTCCGAAGACCGTTCCCACAACTGGTTCGTTTACAATACTCATAGTGAAACTCTTTTGTATCAAAAATTAAATTGAATTACGGTAGAAAGCTGATAGTCTAGAAGAACAAATCGGCTTATATAACTGTAGTGTAAAACTTCTATAGTATCCTTTTTCAATGATACTAAAACTAAGCCATAGCTAACTAAAGATCTAAAAACATTTCACAACTTTAAAGCATAAAAGTAAGCTTTTTTATGCCATAAACTGAATCAATGACATTGACACCTTTTCTTTTGAACTTTGCTTCGAGATAATGGTACATTTTTGAAAGGAGAAGAAGAGTTATCTCAAAAATTCCGTCTTCCGTAGCCGTAAATCGGTCATAAATTCTGTCTGGTGAAAATTAACCGCAAAAAAAATTCTCTCAGTATCGACACGATCAAGCACAACGGTGACAAAGGTGACAAAGGTGACACCGATTGATGCATCATCAACAACTGCACAGGTTACACAGGTAGAGTGTTTCCTCGTGAGTAATGCACTTTCTAAAGGCTTTCGGACATTTGATACGAGTTTCGTCCCTTCTCCCATTAGGAATCTAACTTCGAGCTCAAATATCTTGGCGTTGGACTGTTCTATTTAAATATACTTGATATCATCGGATGCGCCAAGTCTTTCTCTGTCGATTGGTACAAAAACTATTTAAATTGGACAGCCCAACATCAAGATATTTAAGCTCAAAGTTGGATTGACAATGAAAAAGGGGCGGGGCATCAAAGGCTCCACAATCCTTTCTAAGCGCACCAATTTACCGTAATCGAAGACAGTTTTCATTTAATTAGCTCTAGTTTGTATCATTCGTCATATCATTTATATCATCATTGTATCATGTAAAATTCGTCATTTGTATCACAAGGCACGGTTAATGATTTCAAAATCGAACTGATCGAGTCTAAATTGGTTGTTACTAGACAGGAAAATTCCAATCCGAACCTAATTTCACCTTCGTTTTCTCGGCCGTTTTCTAAAATAGGATGTCTTTTAGAAAACTGAAGAAGCCAGTCTGGCCAAGATCAAAAACCACTTAACCTAACAACAATAGATAATGTTTTTAGGGACTAGGTAGGTGCCTTTTAGAAAACGAATTAGCTGAGAGAAACGCAAGCTAGTTGGCATTTTACTTGATGAAAACGTTTTGTTGATTGAATAGCTCAATCGGGTGGAAAGCTTTCATGTAAATGTTGAATTGGCTTCGCGCTTAAAGTGTGACTCAGTTACCCCCAGTGCTTGCTTATTGTTAGAGATTGATCTACGACTTTCCATTATTTTATCAATTATCACAAACTATTCAGATATCGACCACAGCCGAAACAGATCCATCTCCAAAAACCGGAACAGATCCATCTCCAAAAACCGGAACAGATCCACCTTCAACAACCACAAATATCTAAGAAAATGTGAACATTTATCGAGTTTAATCCAATTGCTTTAATAAACAATTTACTGAGATCACATGCAAAAGAAAACAACGTGAAATCTTCTCATTTCACTAATTACATCTTATAAAAAGTGCCTCTTTTATATTTCGTCGGTATTCCAATTGGTGGACTCATTTTCAGCGAAACCATTCGATTTCTAAACAAAAATATCAACAAAATGGCGGTAGAATGAAGGAAAATTGTGCCCACGATAACCCAGCGAAATCCGGAAATCTCGAAAAGGGGCAAAACTGGAAATGGATTGAGTGATTTAGAAAGAATTTTAAATTTTACCAAAAAGAGGTGTCAAAAACTGGCAGGTGCTTCCGGAAAAAGTGAGCCATCCTTGGAGAAAACTCTGGAAAAAAATCTAATATTTTGTGGCACCTTAGTAAGCAGAGAGCTGTTCAAGCCGATTTTAAAAAGCCAAATCCAATAGTAAGGTCTAGTTCAAGGTCAATTGAAAGTCATTGACTTTGGCTTGACTTGGTTAGCCATGACTATCTTTGGCTTTTTGAACTTGCACTGATCAGAGTCAGAAGGACTGCATGATCTGTCTTTGCCTGTCTCATAAAAAATCTCTAAGCCTATTAGAAGCCTGGAACTGTCATCTGTCTGGCCCTGGCCCTGGAGCCCTGAACTTAGCCTCTGACTAGACCTGGCCTCATCTGGCTTACAAGCCTTAGTCCAGTTCGAATTGTCCTGCTATAAAGTTCTTACCTGTTTTCTTGGTCCAACAACTTCCGAGAACAAAGCATTCAATGGAGCGACAATCGTTGGAAAACCAATTCCTGAAACTTTTCCTGAAGAGCCGATCTTCTATCTTAACCTAAAGCCAAAATGAAACAAATTGAGTACAGAAGAATGGGAACACGTGTGTAAGTGGAACACCACGTGAAATGAAGAGCACAGCCACCAGTTGTGCCTGAAATATCATTAGATCATCATTTTCATTGTTTTCTCTGTGTTTTCTAAAACGCATTCAACTCTTGAAGTAGTTTTTCGAAAGAATTCAAATTCTTTTACCATTCGCGTTCGCAAACTCGAGTGGTCCCTCATAGAAAAACCATGGATAAACAGCTATCATATAGATGATAAAAGTGGACATTCCAAGGCAAATCTGTACACGACGATCCCTGAAAAATGATTGTAATTGGCTCTCAATTCAATAACAAACATTTTCCCATATCTCGTTTTTGCTAGAAAAAGATAGGTGATCCCTGATGTGGCACAAGAGCCCGTTTGAAGAAGTGCATTATAGGAGACGGCTTCATCCGACGACCAGCCGTACATTGCCATTGTTAGTGGTGAAGCAACTCTATTCATATTTACTCTAATTGAATAATTTCGATGCAGATTGCGGGTAGTGTTTGGGGAAAACACAGAATGAACTCACGAGTACACAGCGGCTCCCACCGAGCACATGCAAGACCAAACGAAAAACAAAATCCCCACCGGAATTCGATCGAATTTCGGCATCACCAGCCATGGATTTTCTAATGATTTCTTTCTCAATTCTTCAATTTTTCTTTCCACTTACGTGCTTTCTCGTCGTCTGAAATTATCCCAACATAATTCTCCTCAAAGATCGTATGCAAAATAATGATACAAATGAGACAAATAATGCACACAAAATATCCAGGAGTTGTGTATTGATTGAAAGGAACACCGAAAAAAGTCCATCCAACAGAACCAATTGGCATGAACATTAACTAGAGAAAGTTGACGGAGAATGAGCACTTAAAGTTTACTTGAATCGTCGGTCCAACTGATAATCCAGCGGTGAGCCCAGCTGAAGAGATGGCAATTGCCTGGAATTCGGATTCAAAAATGCATTTATACACACGAATAATGTGGTACAAACAATACAAAAGCACAATCCCTAACACTCAATCCATAAGCCCTAAAGGTAAGAAAGAAAAAAAACTCATTGATGGGAAATAGAAACAATAATCTAGCCCGCGGGATTGAACCCTCCACCTCCTGACTAAGCTGCAGGGCTCTTAGCCAGTCGCAGATCGTTGAATCAAGTCATTTTTTGGCTCTATAACCAACGCTAACCTGTAAACGATCTTTTGGGGCGCTCGCTGTCGCGGCGAACGATCTCAACACTCCGAGAGTGCCTAGAAAGTTTAAATTTGAATTGTCTAGAATGCCTAGAATTTAAAGTTCAATCCTTTTTTTGTCTACACTAAGAAAAGTTGAAGGTAGGAAAAGCTAGATCCTAAGTTTGTATCAAGTTATGAAGTTAGAAATCAAAAACCCTTCCCCAATTTCTCCACTCACCCGCTCCAATCCCGCAAAGGAAACGAGCAGTTAACATGGCTGGGATGATCGAGGAAGAATTGAGAATTGGCAATAAACTGTATAAAAGATTGCCTAAAGATTACGTATTTTTTCAATATCGAAAAAACTTCAAACCTACAGCGGCGGCGGTGAAAGCAAAAGTGACTGGTTGTGCGGCTTTCATGCTCTTCTGAGACCACCAGCCGAAAATAGGGTTCGCCTAAAGTTCAAGGTTCAAGGTTCAACTCGAAACTTAGCTCAAAAAGTAAAATTGATTTACTTGATTACGGATTTCTCAAAATTTCTCTTTAATTTACCATTAAGCATCCAAGACTATTCGCTGAAATGATCCACCCGAGTGCGGAGACCGATGTTTCGGGAGCTATCTGAAAAAGTTCTGAAGTTTAAAAAAGAATATTGTAAGTGACTTTTTCCTTTATAGTAAAATCAAATCTAAAATCAAGAAACCGATTTGGTGTACGGCCAGACGGGCATGTAGAAAATGCTTTGATTAATCCCGGAGAATACCAACATTGCACCGGCTATGTAAATCGCTCTCCAATTCGTTTGTTTCTCACCTTTTGATTCGCTTTTCCTAAAGTTTCAACAAATATTTTGATTGATTTTAAATATTTTCTAAAGTTTCAAGAAATATTTCATTTATTCATTTATTTATTTATTTACCAGATCTCGTCGTTTTTGATGGCGGTCATTCTTGAAAACGAAAGCTCTGGCTGACTCCGTTTTCAAATTTTTTTATCTAGAAGCGAATTTGATTGGCAAGAATCGACAATCGATCAAGTTTTTCAAGTTTAAAGAAACAAAGAAACAATTCAAGTTTAATCGTTATTTCATTATCAATGAAATGAATCAATTTGAATCAATATTTAAAATCATCTGCAAATTAATGTGGTTAGAAATTTTGCTTCAGAAACTTTCATCAAAAAAGCTTTGATGGTTAACTTTCGGCATCTGACGTTCAACCCTGAATCAGTAGTGTCTGTAAGTCAAAAAAGGACATGTCAGAAGTCAGCAAAAAAGTTAGTGCACTAGCCGTCAAAAGTTTTCATTTACAGTTCTTGTAAACATCAATACAATAGCATTTATCATGATAGAGAGCAAAATCAGGTACACTTTTCAAAGATATGATGACATCAATCACCACAATCACCAAAATGTGGCTCCTTCTCGGGTCACTCTCATCAATTTTGTCTATCTATTCACTGGTTTTACATAAATTTCTTCTCTTTTTCAGAGTTAAAAGCTTTTTTTTGTCTACAATGTACAAAAAGGAAGAGTTTATTGTGCAATCTGACACCAGAAATGACAGAAAATGACACAATTGGTTACAGAAATCAGTCGATTGAATATCTTTTTTTGCTGCTAAAGCAAAACATATTCAGAAATCCCACAAAAAGAGATCATTCGGATAGATGAACGGAAAACGATGAACGAACAAGAAATCAACTCTCATATTGTTGCTAGATTTGATAAAATGCACAATAATCTCAATTTTCATTGTCAAAAATCACATTCGATAAAATGTGCCTCTTTTGTATTTCGTTGGTGTGCCGATTGGTGGTTCCATCTCCAATGGAATCATCCTCCCAAACACCCAAATGATCAAAACGATTCCAACGGAATGCAACCCGAAATTCAACACGGCAACCGGTCGGAACCCGTCCTTTTCGTAGAGGAAACTGAAATTGGTTTTAGAGATGAAAAGATTAAATCAAAGATTAAAAAGATGGACATCAGCCGGTCTAGATCAATGCAACTCACGCCACAAGAATTGGACACCAGAATTGAGCCAAACTGCCCGTGAATGCCATCATTCCTTGCACAAAACTCTAAAACTCTTGTTCCATTAAGTTTTCCTTCTCTTTTTAACCTGTTTCCTTGGTCCCAAAATCTCAGAGAGTCTTGTGTTGAGTGCAGTCATGCAAAGCGGGAAACCCATTCCAAGAAGGATGACAAAAGAGAAACAATAAACCCAAAATGGGATTCTGAATTTGAAAAATTGGATCCTGTTCTCTTTTAAACAAAACCTATTCCTTGTCGCACACCAATCAAAGTTGCAGGCAGCGATCATATCTGTTTCTGTAAAACTTTTAGATTTTTGCTTATTCTTTAAGAAAATACCATTCTGTGGTCCTGGATAGAAAAACCATGGATAAAAGAGGATCATGATCAGCAAAAACATCAAGAAACCACTGATCAATTGTTTACGACGATCCCTGATCAAATTAGGAATTAGAAAAAGAAATGGAGATCTGCTTAGATCTTTGATCTTTGAGCTTAGTTTGACTACATCAAAAATTTGTATTATTGTATTGTGTCAAGAGCTACGTACATATTCCCAAGTCTTGTCCTTCCAAGAAGAAACGCAGTCACTGCCGAGCAGATGCACGAGCCGGTTTGTAGAACTGCGTTGTAGATCACCGCCTCTTCACTACTCCATCCGAACATTGCCATACTCATCGGAGTGGCCACACTAGAGCACTTTATCGTATTGCTAGGTTCCTTAGGCTTTAGATCTTCGAATAATCGTTATGGTTGAGTTGCTATGAACGGTACTGTTAATGTAGCCGATATTGACTTTTATTGTAATTGTAAGCCTTTCCCCGCATACCAATAGATCGATGTGGCGATTGTCATCAAAAGTCCCCACAAATAGAACATGACAAGAACGGGAGCTCGATCGAATTTCGGGATAACCAACCAGGGATTGCCTAGGAGGAATTTGAGTGTCATATGCAGAAATGAGATTTACTTGTTTTCTCATCATCTGAAATGATTCCCACATAATTCTCCTCGAAGATTGTCACCAAGAGAATCACGCAAATGATCCCAACGATGAACATGATGAAACCGGGAGTCGTGTATTGATTGAGTTGAATAAGACCGAAGACGCGGATTCCCTCGGAGCCGATCGGCATGAAGCACATCTGGCAAAAGAGTCATTGTTTTAGAAAGATAGACAGACAGACAGACAGACAGACATACAGACAGACAGACAGATAGGCAGACAGACAGACAGGCAGACAGACAGACAGGCAGACGGACAGACAGGCAGACAGATAGACAGACAGACAGACAGATAGACAGACAGACAGACAGACACGTACCGTAATCCAGCCCGTGTACACTCACCTGAATGACCGGCCCAATCGATAATCCAATCGTCAACCCAGTGCTAAGCGTCGACATCGCTTTCATGCGATCTTCCACCGCCGAACACATGGCAACGAATGAGCGAAGAACGCCCAGACAGCCTTTAGAAAACGTGAATTTCCTCGATTTCAATTAATCTCTTTAACCTGTACAGAAACCGGTCAAAATCCTCCCAAAAAGCATTAATGGAAGAGCTGCCTGTTCAGGTAAAATCGGCAGAATTGAGTAGATCAAATTGCCTTAAAATTTTTGAAATCAAATATTTCTGATTTACTTTACCAATCGCAGCCATCGAGAAACCGAAAATGAGTGGATGAGCGGTTTTCATCGTTTTTTGAGCCCACCATCCAAAAGAGACATTGGCCTAGAAGGATTGGGATCTCAATTTCGATTTCTGCAAATTCTTTGATTCTTTTTTCAAATAATTCTTTGAAAGGTTACAGAAAGGAAAGGATTGAATTTTTTTGAAACAAGGAAAGAAGATTTAAGCTGAAGAATTTCAAAAGATATTCAATTATAGGAGTGATGTCTTCGAACTCACAAAAAGACATCCCAAGCTGTTCCCCGACATTATCCACCCCAGCCATTCGATTGTCGATCTTTCTGTGATCTAAAATAAAAGAAAAACTATAGGTGACTTTTTTTTTAAATTTTCAATGCTGTATTTTATGCTTTGGCTCAACGATGATTTCACCGAGAATCTCTCACCGATTGCATGTAGGGCCAGATTGCCTAAAGAAAAATTTGTTGCATAAGTAAATTCACCGTAAAATTTACCATAAAAAAGATCGACATGTTGATGCCTAAATGTTCATTTTGTACAAAAAGTTCATTGTTTTAAGAATAACCAGCAAGTGCCATCATCAAAGTTGCCATGTAGATCGATCGCCAGCTTGTCTTTTTCGCGCCTTTCGAGGGTGGTGGGCTGAAGTTGTTATTGCAAGCGAATTTTCGTTGGATTGTGTTCTTGCTGCCGAAATGATTATTTCGGCAGCAATTTTATTGCTTATGACTGTTCTTTGGAACTCTATAGGTGACTATAGGTGACTTTTTGTAAAAGCAATCAAAGCATGTATTTACTTATTGAGTTAAAACTAAAAAAATCAGGTGTAAGTCTTGATGAAAAGCCTCGTAGTCCCGTTTTTCAACGATGAAAGGCTAGTTAATTAAAAAGCGAAGATTTTTTTTCGTAATCAAAAGAAATATAATGTAATATTTTTATAATCAAAGCATGTAGATTATAAGCTTAATGTTTATTGAATACAAAATTTTGAAAAAAGGAGTCATAGAACTCCAAAGAAAAGTCATAGAACTCTAAAGAACAGTCATAGAACTCCAAACATAGAACTCCAAGCATAGAACTCCACAGAACATAGAACGCCAACCTCTCCGTATCAATCTTCATCGACATTTCTTCGAAAGACCCCGTAAAAACAGTGAAGCCAAATTAAAATTGAATCTTTTTTTGAGAAAATGTCGATTTTTTTTATGATTTTTGGAGTCTTGTCTTGTCTCTGCAGCTTACAAGCGTCATTTTGCATAATCTTCATCGAACTTTGGGTCAACTCTTTGATACTTGTCGATAGAAAATGCAAAAAAAAGTGCAAAAAATGAAACCCTTTATTTACACAATCTACAAATCTCATATCGAAACGATTATTCAATTGTTGTTTAATTTGATTTGATTCTATCGTCCCCACATGCCGAATGGTCTCATTCCCCATCCGCCCATCATCATGCCCGGATACATACCCATTCTGAAAATCAATGAAATCAATTTGCGTTTACCATTTTTCATCTCGGTCAATTTAGTCTCAAATAGAAATCACAGAGAAATGAATACCGATATCTTTTCAGTGATTAACTATATCACTTATTTTCCCAATCACACTCACCCATATCCCATTCCGCCCATTCCCATTCCCCATGGCCACCATCGGCGATTTCGGATCAATCTGAAATGAAGAATGTTATAAGATCAATCATCAAGTACTGTCAAGTTAGAAACGAGTAGTTTTGACTTCAAATTTCAATTCACCAAAGGTGAACCCGTATGAAATCAACTTTCGAAACGCACGTTTTCTCGTGTCCCGTCGCTTCCAATCCATGTTCACTTTCTTCTTCAGCATAAACACAAACGGCGACGAGAAGCACCAAAAAGAGAGCCAAGACTTTCGTGGAAATCATTCTCAATACAGTAAGCGTAATTCAGTTAGATATGCAATTGAATTTCTTGAATGTGCACTCAACTTTTATTTATACCGAAAATAAATGGGGGGATTTCACCGAATTTCACTCGTGTTTACAAACAGTTCTCACATACAGTCATGATATACAGAGTCTAAGAAAATAAAGTCCTTTTTTTGTGTTTTGTAATCATTGAGAGATCAACACACCAAGTTCATCGTCTTTCGTCTATTTTCGTGGATATGACGTGTCTGGGGACGAATGACCTCGAAATCGCCTAACATGTTTTGTCTCTGTCTGTTGGTTGTTTGGAAAAGTTGAAAGAGACAGTATCTTTTTTGTGAAATCTCAGAAAACATTGACCTTTTATGGATGAAACAATCTATTTCAAGCATAACAAATCATCCTTAAAGATGAACGTCTTCCTTTTCGACGAGGAAAGCTTTCTTGAATTTCCCCATGAAGGTCTTCTTCTGGGCAGCAGTTGGGAAACGTCCATGTCCGAATTTGGAAGAGGTGTCAATCCACTTCAGGTTGATTTGCTCGAAAGCAAAGCGCTTTGTGTGCGTGTAGTGCGATTTGCGGAGCGTGATTAGTCTCTTCTTTGTTCCAAGGCAACATCCACGAATCATGACGAAGTCTTGCTTGACCATTCCATAATGAGGGAAGCCTCCCTAAAGAAAACATCTAAGTGTATAGTTAAGTGAAATAAACTTTTTACGGCCCAGTTCATATTGTATTGTTTCCTCACAAATGTGTAGGGCCACTACTTTACACATCATTGCCAGATAAAAACATTTTAAAATAGAAACCCACCATAGGGTTAATCGTCTTCTCAGTAGCATCAAATTCGGTTGCTCCATTGTTTTTGCCTTCCGGGGTCTCAGATGAGTGGCCAATGCGGTAGATTTTCTTGTTCGTTTCAGTACGATGATGATATCCCTCTTGACCGGCACGAGCAACCGTGAATTATACACGGGATGAATGCCAAGCTCCGATACAAGCGACCTAAAAGAACAATAAAATGGTATTATTTTATGCAAAGTTACCTTTTGGAGACCTTTGTGGGTCTTTCTAGGAAGCTTCTTGGTGTGCCAGCGGCTTGTGACTCCCGTGAATCCGTGTCCTTTGGTGACTCCAATGATGTCGATAAGCTCATCTTTGGAAAAGACACTATCGACTGGGACTTGGGTCTCAAGATGTTAACTTTGTCCTCAATAGTTCCTCCATTAACTTGAATCTCCACGATGTGTGCCTTCTTATCGCGCTTCTTCAACAACTTTTGCTAAAAAGAAATAATAATCAGGTTTTCCGAACCAAATGATTTTAATAATAAATAAATCTCGAGCTAAGAAGGAAGACAACATTTTATTGATAGGAAAATCCTCACAATTGTAGGCATCAGCCTATCGTCATTGCCCATTACATTGTTATTCGTAATGATAAAAGGGAAACTATACCTGAGTATGAGCAATGACTCGAATCTTGGTGCAGTACTTCTTCATCTTGTTGAGATCCGCCTCAAGTGTTGTTGCTCATCCGACTGATCCCCCATGTGAGACTCTTCTCGAAGAAGGCGCAACTGCAATTGATCGCCCGATATGATGAAAGCAATGGAATGTCTTGAACAAAACTTGATCTGATTCACCCTGTAAATAAGCATTCAAGTTTTTTTTGCAGGTGAAGAGCTAAGAAGTTAACCCTCGTTCATCTATATATGTATTAGGTTGGCAAGAAAGTTCGTAGAAAAAGTTTGTCAAATTAATCGTCGACAATGGCGAGCGGTGAGCGGGGAGCCTCGTCTTTCTAAGTCGATATTGGTCCGATCCGAAGCCCATATCTACTATGGGAGTAAACTAGCGGAAAAAGAAGCCGTTTTCTGGGATGTCCTATAGATATGGATGGCATTGTAGTATTCGTTATTGTCGAATTGTATTTTGGTGGGTGGGATGGATTTTTGTGTGTTTTCAAGTGCCTCTCTCGAATAGAGAGCACTTATTTTCCTTTTCACAGGGTTTTTTCTTCTCTAGCCACCGAATCGAGGCCAAAACAGGGTCTTATGAAAATGGCGTGGGTCAGATAGGGGGCGTTTGTGTTTGAAAAACAAATTTTCGCCGAGAGAACGCACAAAAACCTTTTCCTTTTAGCTTTTAGCAGAACTTTTCCGAGAAACGATTCAAAAGTCATCTTGAACATGCAGTTTTCCCTTCTTATCAACTAACTCTTTTGCGTTTATACGATAATATTTATTTAAATCATCAAAGAAAAAAAAAGCTTAGATGTGTTCCGTCACTTTGTATTTTCCGTCTCACAAATTTTCTCTTTGCCTCTTTGTCTGTCAGTTGTTGCTTGAGACAGAAATGATGACCCCAATATCTTTCGGTTTCCTTTCTCGTAGCAGGATCACATAGGAAAGGCTAAAAACGAGAGCTGTTAACTGTAAATTTCTTGGGAAAAGCTCAATTTATTTCTAGATTTGAATCATACTGCTTAATGCACAGAACATGAGCTCTGTATAGATAAACGGATGCTGCTGAAAACTTATCGATGCAATCATTTTTATAGACAGATTCTCATCAAATTCTGCTAGTCAGACTCCATTGATTGAAACGGGAGATGAAGGGGAGGGCCTATCTAAGAAAGTCTCTATTCATTATAGAAATAAATTTTATATTTTAGTGAGCACGAGTACCAGGTGATTAGCGTGCAAAATTGCCATTCGGCCGTGAAGAGAACGAAAGCGGCCAGCGACGACGTGGTCACATATTCGCCGGCGACGGCAATCGAAATGGTCAAGATGAAACCGGTGCATAAATTGGTGACCATCTGCAACTCTTCTGAAGGCCAGATTCTATCCTGATCCGAACGAGCACCAAACCGATGCCCGTGTTTTGAAATCTACCGATTACCGACTCTTTTTCGTATAAAATACCCACCTGAATAGCCAATTTGAACTCTTTTCTCAACTGTTCGCCCTTTTGTCGACTGGTGACCGTTTGCACCTCTCGAAAGGCTCGCACCCTCTTGTGCATCATAAAGAAAACCGAAAAGTCGATAAATGTGGCAAAAACGAGCACAATCCAACCGATTATATTCTCAAAGAGTTGACGTTTTTTTTCGCTCCATACCTAGGAGAATTGAGAAAAACTGACTTGTGACCAGTAAATCATCACTTCTCCGCAATCACCCTCGACATAAAAGAAATTTTGGCCGTATGGAATGAAAATACATCGACAGCCAGCTGAAACGAAAGCTATGAAAGATTGGCAACTTGAAAGTTGGTACACTTTTTCGTATTTCTCAGAAAACATATTCAATACGCCAATTCAATTAGACTTCTCTAAATAAAAGTTATATATTATCTAATTTAAGAAACCCTTAAGCAAATTTGGACAACTTTTGAAACGAGTTTGAGCAGAAATTCAAGTTTTTCTGAAAATCCTTCAAACAGACATATAACTAAAGTAATTAGAAAAATCGAGTTGAGAATTTGGCTATATGCCTAACTTTTCATGCTCTATCTTTTTCTACTAACATCAAAATAGGTTTATGTGGAAGAAAGTGCTCAAATCGCTTCATCGAGTGTTCATCACTTTTGATTCCTCAACTTCTTGCCCCCTAGAAATCTACAAAATCGAAGCATTTTAAAATCTGTCAAAAGCCTCTTTTAGAGGATAAATAGACCTTTTTATTGGTAAAAACTGTAGATTAATTTTGATGCATTAGTTATTTCAAAAAAATGCAATGAATAAGTGTACCAACTTTCAAGTTGTCAATCTAATCTTTTAGCTTATGCTAGAATGATCATTTAATATTATTAGGGTGCTCACGAATACTCCAAACGATGGCTGACATCAGTGGATAGACAAGGATGATTGCATATTGAAAAGGTTTTGTCTTTTCGAAGTCTTTATAAAAACGGCCATCAAATGCAAGGGCACAAAAGCGATTGATGCCGAGTAAAAGCTGAAAAGTATCAGGGAAAAACTAACAATAATATTTCATATATTTCAACCCCCGTTACTAAAGATTTTTAAAGTCTCAAACGAGCGTCAAGAGCCATCAGTTGCATAAAGAGAATACCTTTGGCGGGAAACTGATCGCCGGTGCACACATGACAAAACCCGCAAAGAAATGATCGAGAAATGGGAGCGCTTCATTGAGGGTCCTAGAAAGTAATGTGTCAATCAGCTTCCCCAAACACCGAAACTACTCTCGTACTCACCAAATAGCGCACGGCACCGCCCAAAAGAGGTGACAGAAATTGATGAGTGTCAGTTGGAATAAGTCGATGAAAGCACAATGTTCGACGATGCCTTCAAATGAAAAGCAAATTAGTTTCGTTTCTCTTGAAAACCGTCCAAAAAGTTCTTTCGAACGACGATAACACCCAAAAAGCCGAACAAGATTCCCAAGAAACCGATCTGAAAAGGAAAAATTGCTAACAAATAGCTAATTTGCTATCATTTTAGAGCTTTTTCTTTTCTTGTACTCTAATTGTTTAGAAATTATTTCTGAATAGGGGGACGTTCAATTAGCATATTCGCTATGAGAGCTACTTGAGTCATTTGTAGCTACACAATTCTAATGCTTCTGTTTTTTATTTTTAGCCCTTTCACAATATTCAGTACAAGATACAGTTCTGAAGGCGTTAAACAAAACATACAATCGCCATGAAAAGAATATCGAAGAGAATTTCGGCTTGACTGACATCAGGCAGAGGAGGTGAATCCGTTTCATTTGTTGATCCATTAATATTTTCATCGAAAAGAAGCGTTCCATTTGCCATTTGCTTATTTGGAAAGACTTTAGAATGAATTCGTTTTAGCAAATGAACTAGGAACTAAAAAAAAAGGCAAACAGGTAAACACAGCCACCAGAAATTGAAACAATAAATCAAACCCGGTTCTGCAATTCGCTTCTCTTCGAAAAAAGAGTACAAAAAGTTTGTTTAAAGACTTTTTTAGTTTAATAACTATTAGCTTGGTAAATATGAAAGGTTATTTTTTACAAAAAATATTGCCCTGTCGTTACGAAGAACATTCCCTGTCTAGGATTTTTCTCAATAATATGTCAAAATGTGCTCATGTTTTTTTTTGCAAAAACATTTTTGTTTTGAACAATATTTGTATTGTTTCAGCTCGGCAAAGATGGCTAACCAAAAATTTAAAATCAGGGCCGCCATTTTCTTTGAATTCAAGTTAAACAAGAAAGCTACGGAATGCCATCAGAACATTTGTACTGTTTTTGGAGAAGCTACTCTTACTTACAAACAATGTTGTGTTTGGTACGGTCGCTTCAAAACGGGAAACGAGTCATTGGAAGACGCACCACATGGAAAGCCGCCGATTACTTTGGACGATCAGCTGTTACTGAACGAGGTCGACTTGGATCCATCGCAAAGTGTAGAAAATTATCAGAAAAGTTCGGATGCACTCATGTTACCATTTACACGTTCTTGGGAAATCATATCGAAGCGGGAAATGGCTCCCCCACGACCTCACTGATGCCCACAAAGTCACACGAGTCACCTTGAGCTCTGTTCTTCTACGTAAAGCTAGCCATCGTGACTTTTGGAAGTATTTTTTGACATCTGATGAGACTTGGCTTTCGTATGAAAATATTCAACTCTATGGACAGTGGCTGAGTTCGAAGCGGACCTCTCATTCTATCCCGAAGCCTCCGAAAAAGTTATGCTTTGTGTGTGGTGGAATGCTAAGGGATTGGCTCACTTGGAAATATTAGATAAAGGAGACACTGTTGACGGAAGACTTTATGCAGAACAAATGGGTCGAGTCGATCCAGCATTGAGGAAAAAGAGGATCGATCCATCGAAGGTCAGATTTCTTCACGACAATGCTAGGCCTCACATTTCAAAGATCGTCCACGAACAAATCGACAAGTTGAGCTGGAAACTTCTTCCACACCCACCATACAGCCCTGATCTAGCCCCATCGGATTACCATCTCTTTCGGTCAATGAAACAAGCAGTTTCTGGACAGCAGTTCAAACAAAAGCAGGACATCGAAAATTGGGTTGCCAACTATTTTGCCTCTAAAAATCTTTAATTTTACGAGGACGGTATTCGTGATTTGGGGCAACGTTGGAAAGAAGTTATTAATGCTTGTGGTGAATACATTTGATTTTGAAAGTGCTTAAATAAATTTTTCTGTTATGTTAAAAATGATCAAAAAAATAACCTTTCATATTTACCAAGCTAATATGTTCTTTAAAAGAACTGGCTTCAAATCGTTTTTTTTTTTGCTCAAACTTGAGTATAATTTTTCTAAAATGTTTTCGGCAAAAAAAAACATTGTTCCAAATAGCTCTCTAATTACTAGTTTATAAATTGCTGAATGGGGTAAAGGGGGAGAAGGTCAGAAATAAAGTTCACGGATCGATCTCCTAGTCGGTAGACAGTAAAATAGCTCACAGAAAGAAATGACATTTTCCATTACAGTATGCACAAGATGACATAATTGATTTCTTTTTCCATATATGGGAACTGTCATTACAATAGCTGTTATAGTAGTACACCGGGACTTAGTATTATAGTAGTAGTTATAGTGTTGGGTTGGTGAATTAAAAACTGCGGAACTTTGAACTAAAATTTATTGAACATAAAACCATAAATTCATTTGAAATAATTTCCATTATTATTAATGACTTGTGCACATTTTACGGGCAATTTGCGGATTCCCCTTTCTTCGTAGGATTTTGGTTTGTGTGTGAGACAAGTGTGAGACTCAAAAATGGAGGACTGGAGATGTCTCAGTTTGAGCAATTTCTTTAAAAGAAACCCATTTTGGTGTCAATAGAAAAGTTGTAGAGAATCAAAAATTAGACTTATAGCCAAATTTCCAAAAAGATACACTTAGTAGTTTCGCTGAAAATGCAAGTTTTGTGAAAATTCGTAAATTTGGCATTTGTTGAAAACCAGTTTTTGAATCGTTCTGAAAATTTGGATATAAGCTTGATTTTTGATTCTCTACAACTTTTCCATTGACACCAAAATGGGTTTCTTTTGAAGAAAGTGCTCAAACTGTCACATATGACAATAGCCGGCAGTTTTCAATTCACCAACCGAATATATTATAGTATAGTGTGGTAACTAACTATATTAGAATAAAAATATAGTGGTAAACGATCTAGTAAGAGAGAGTCTACGGCACATTGTATGTGCAGTGGTTGCACCTTGCCCCCTAGGCTAATACTAGAAAAAACCAGTTGAATTTCATCTTGAAAGAGATGATCCCCTTTTCTTTCAAAATTTTTGAGAGGGTGATAGCTGTCTCCTATCCATGATCTGTCACTGGGTTGCTGAGTGTAACTCGAGCTGTTCTGTGTTTTGTCACTAAAAGTTCCAAAAGGCTATTTTCTAGAGAAAAACACTTCTTCTTTGTTCTACATAAAACATCTAATCCATACTTCTATTTACAATGCTCAAAAAGCTATCCGACGAGGAAATCTCTGATCTGAAATTGGCATTCAAACATTTCGACAAGGATGGGAATGAGAGAATTTCCTTGAACGAGCTCGGAGCCGTGATGAAAACGCTACTCGGACAGAAATTGGATAATAAACGGCTACAGGTCAGTTGTTTATCGATAAAAGGCTTGATTACAGTTCATTGAAACTAGCGTTCGTGCTAAAGTTCTTAGAGCCACGAAAAGTCCATATAGATAATAACATCTGATTTGTGAAAGCACAGTTGGGATAATTCTACGTATATAACTTTATCTTATACAATAATGGATAAAAGTTTAACAACTTTCTAATTTTGTCGATAACTTTTCAACCAAGCTCCATATCAATGCAAAATTTGGTTATGAGATGTAAAATTAGTGAAACTTTTTCCTTTGTTGACGCCAATCAAAGCCGCAATCCCATCGATCTTCTTTCCCTCCTTTCGCCATTTCATAATCGATTCCCGATGAGCCACAGACACTTGTTTCGCTTTGCCCATACCTAAAAATGATTAGCTTAATTGATTATTGAGTAAAAAACAATTAAGAAAAAAGAAAACATGCTAAAGTTCACTCTGCGCGCTACAAGATACAACTATACAAACTAAGAGAATAATATGCAAGTTTTGTTCGTGAGTGAGTTGCGTCTATGCCCTTTTATTTGATTTAAATACTTTATGCGCACGTTCAAACACTTAAAAAAATAGTACAGATACAAGCGATAACGGTTTCACAAAGATAAAATGCTTGATTCACAGAAATGAGATTGCAAGGTTGGCAGAATGACCAAACGCTGAAATGAATGACGGAAAGGTTCCTTTCTTTATGCTCTTTCATTGGACAAAAGATAAGTAGTTGACTCGCTTAATAGCTTTACTTTAGAGCGCATTTTCGTATTCAGCTATCAACTCACTTGAGTGTGGTATGGAAAAGTGTACACAATCACAAAGTTGTTAAACTTATGTCGCTGTTAAAATCAATAAAAGTTCTCAAAAATCTTTAACTGAAAGCCGATTACTTTTACTTTTTATTTTATAAAAATTCCACTAATTTCACATCTCATAGCTAAATTTTGTATTGATATGGAGCTTGGTTGAAAAGGTTGAAAAGTTATCGACAAAAAGTTGTTAAACTTTTGTCCGCTACGGTATATAGAAATGTTACACTTTATTGCATATTATAGTGTGTAATCGATTCGGCCGACAAGAATGGGGATAAAGTGCTCGATTTCGACGAGTTCCTCGCTCTCATCAATCGAAGTGTCAACGAGCAGAAAGCCGAGAATTTCCGCTCGGCTTTCAGGATCCACGATAAAGATCAGAATGGCTTGATATCGAAAGCCGAATTTCGACGTGTTATTGAGGCGTTTGGGACCGAGTTGAGCGACGAAGAGCTGAAATCGATGATGAAACAAGTGGACACGAACCGGGATGGACAGATCAATTATGAAGAGTTTCTCGTATTTATCACGAATAAATGAGAACTTTTTGCACATTTTGAACGTTGATCCTTTGATCAAAACGGCACTCTTTATTACCAAAAAACTGATCATAAATCTCATAAATTACAAATACACTGAGGCTACAAGAGATAGATCCCTGGTTAACGATATTTATGCTCTGGGAGAACACAGGAAAAATTTATCGTTCTGGTTTTAAGTTGTTAAAAGATCTGGAACCATTTCTTTTTTCTTAAGCCTCGCCTCTTACTCATTGTCGACTCTTGGCCGCTTTTCCGAGATCATAAACTGAATCGTGATAGAAAAATCAATAGAAATCTCTCGCATCCCGCCTCATTGTACTGGTAGTAAGCATTGAAAGTTTGAACTCTGTAATCTGCATATAGTAGATTGAGAATTTGGAATTGAATTGAGACTACCGTATTTACTCGAATAGAAGACCGGCCTCGATTATAAGACCGTCTCGAATGGAAGACGGGGTTTAGTGGATGATCGAAAAAATAGAAGACCGGTCTTCTATTCGAGTAAATACGGTATTTCCTTGAGAAACAAACAAATAATTCTCTAAGAAAAACACAAATAAGTATCCTGCTATGCTTTTATTTCCGAAATATATAAATTAAGTTCTTCTTCGAAAATTTCGATGGACAAAGAAATGATTTGATGATTATGTGAGGTGTTTCCGTTTCGAATCTCCCACTCGTCGCTCACTCCATCTAAACGGGGAAATTCTGGCGTTTTTGACGGGATTTCAAGAGCGTTTTGATAATTGGGGTATTTAAGAATAGATCCGTTCATTCTTAAAGTGATCAAAACAACTAAAAAATTTCCTAGCTACTTGAAGAAAGCAGCGAAATAACTCTTTCTCTGATTAGCCTCATTTGGCATTGCAAAGAAGATCTCTTCCTTTAGCCTCAACGTCAATTGCTGTATTTCAAAAGCAGTTTTAGTTT